ATTATTCTCTCTCTCACACAGTCTCCCTCCCCTGCTCTCAAGAGACCCCCTTGCTTGCTCACACAAACACACATAGACTCCCTCCCCTTTATCTCTCTCTCACACATTCTCTTTCAATCACACACAGAATCGCTCACACACACCTCTCTCTGACTCACACACACTCCCTCTTCTCACTCGCACACTCACACAAAATCTCTCCCCTCTTTAAATCACATACACACAATCCTCCCACTCTCTAAGTCACCCCTCCTCTCTCCCACAAATGCACACACCCACACACAGTCCTCTCTCTTGCTCACACAAACAGTCCTCCCCGTCTCACACACACATACAAATATCTCTCTCTTTCACACAAATGCACATTTAGTGTCCCCCCTTCCCCCCCTCTCTCACACATGCACACTCCCCTCTCCAAGGGACCCCCTTGCTCACACACTTACACAAACAAGCATAGCCTCCCTCCCCTCTATCTCTAACATACAATCACATACAGTGTCTCTCATACAAAAGAGACCCCCCTTCTCTCCCCGTCGCCCGCACACACACACACAAAAGAGAGCCTCTTTTTCTCTTCCCCCTCACACACAGTCCCTTCCCTTACTTTCCCTCTCGCACAGAAAAAGAAACCCCTCCTTTTCCCCTCACACATGCATGTCTCCCCCTCTCTCATTCACGCACACAGTCTACCCCTCTCTTATACACACTCTCCCTCTCTTACACACACACACACACACACACAGTCTCCCTCTCTCACACACACAGTCTCCCTCTCTCACACACACAGACACAGTCTCCCTCTCTCACGCTCACACACAGTCTCCTTCTCTCACATTCTCAGTCTCCCCCTCACACTCACACACAATCTCCCTCTCTCACACTCACACACAGTCTCCCTCTCTCACACTCACGCAGTCTCCCTCTCTCACACTCACATACAGTCTTCCCCCAGCACAAGTCTCCCGCTCCCTGTCTCACATACCCAGTCCATCCATCTCTCTCACACACACACAATCTTGCCCCGTCCCTTCTCTTTCCCACGCTCACACACAATGGTCCCACTCCGGTCTCTCTCACAAACACGGTCCTCTTCCTTTGCACTTTATACAGAGCTACAGTCGCCCACTTCATCCGTCTCACACACAGGTAAATTTACGTGTGTAGATAGCATACATACAACTCTGTCTAGTTTGGATACTCTTTAGCATGATGCGGGTTTCCGAGTGTGTCAGACACCCAAAAAACACTTAGCTACAGCCACCCGCACACACACCTACAACGCAAGCCACACTATTTCTCTCACACACAAACACACATACAGCCTTCCACTCCATCACTCTCTCACACACAAACACCCACACACCTACAGTCATCTCCATCTCTCACACATACAAACGCACACACCTAACAGCGGCCACTCCACCTCTCTCTCACACACTCGCACACATCTAGACCGACTCTATCTCACAAAATATACAGTCAAATCACTTTACAGTGTATCCTTTGAAGCGCTTTGAGACGCCTCAATGATGCGATAAGGCGCTATATCAAATGCAAGGATTATTATTATCTCTCAAACGCACACATCCGCCCACTCTCTCTCACGCTCAACTATAGCCGCCTTTTCGATCTCTCACAAACACATGCTTATTTCATATCTCTTACACACAAACACAAGCGACAGTCACCCACTCAATCTCTCTCACACACACACAGCTACAACTGCCTGCTCCATCTCGATCTCTCTCTCTCAAAGGCACACAAATCTCTCTCAATGAAACACACACACAACCACCCACTATATTGCTCTTTCATAACACACACACTCACACGCGCACACACACACATCTGATCACTCAGTATTTTTTTAATCTAACACATACACAACAAAGGTGCCCCTTGTTTCTTTTACACAGATGAAGAGCAGCCCCATTCTGTCTCTTTCCATCTTTCACACCAGACTCCCAATTTCTCGCTTACACACCACACACACACAACCAGAGCTCCCACTTGCTGTGTGTTTGTGGGTGTGAAAGAGATGCAGAGGTAGCAACCTTGTGTGTGTGTGTACATGTGTTCTTTTTCACCCACAAAATATACAATCAATCCACTTTACAGTATATTCTGTGAAACGCTTTGAGACGTCTCGAAGAAGTGATGAGGCGCTATATCAAAAGCAAATGCAAGGATTATTATTATTGTTATTTTTCCATGCACACACTACACACCCTATATTTTCTCTCTCACACAGACTTACACAAATAGCCACTGCACTCTTGAGTGTGTGTGTATGTTTTTCTCTCACTCACATACACATATGCACACGCACGTTCTATTATCTCTGACACATATATCCCAGATTGGATCACAGGCAAATACTGTAACCGTCCTTGAAATACACAACCCCATTTCAGTGCCTATTCACACAATAACCCCACACGACGCACAGCAAATGGACGGGTAGACAGACACCAAGGCGCAGACAGAGTCAGACACATATATTGCCTGGGGGGGGTGGTGAGTGTCGAGTAAAAAAAACAGGAGACACAGTTAGAAAGATAGGAATACAGAGAGAGAGAGAGAGAGAGAACAAGGGAGACACACAGATAAGAGTGAAATACACAGGAAGCAAAACCCTTAGAACACACACAGATACAGAAAGAGAAAAAGGAACACGGAGACACAGGGCACACAGACACAGAGAGATACAGGGCACAGAGACACAGTGAGACACAGGGCACAGAGACACAGGACACACAGACACAGCGAGACACAGGGCACACAGACACAGAGAGATACAGGGCACATAGACACAGTGAGACACAGGGCACACAGACAGAGAGATTCAGGGCACATAGACACAGCGAGACACAGGGCACAGAGACACAGGACACACAGACACAGCGAGACACAGGGCACACAGACACAGAGAGATACAGGGCACATAGACACAGTGAGACACAGGGCACACAGACAGAGAGATTCAGGGCACATAGACACAGTGAGACACAGGGCACACAGACAGAGAGATTCAGGGCACATAGACACAGAGAGACACAGGGAACACAGACACAGGGATACAGGGCAGGCAGACAGACAGACACAGGAGACACAGGGCACACAGACAGACACAGGACACACAGACACAGCGAGATACAGGGCACATAGACACAGAGACACAGGGCACACAGACACAGAGAGACTGGGGTGAGGGGCACCCAGAGACTGTGGGGGCACACAAACATTGAGAGACTCGGATGTGGGGTGGGGGGGCACATGGACACAAGAGAGACTGGGGTGGGGGGCATACGGACATAGAGAGACTGGGGTGAGATTGGGGTGCAGGGGGCCAGGCACAGAGAGACTGGGGGGAGGGGGCACACGGACACAGAGACTGGGGTGGGGGGAGCACACGGACACAGTGAGATTGGGGTGCACGGGGTGGGGTGTACACACAGGGAGGCCAGTACCTACCCAAGAGTGGGGGGGCACGGACACAGAGACTGGAGTGGAGACACAGTGAGATTGGGGTGGGGGCACACGGACACAGAGACTGGGGTGGGGGGGGTACATGGACACAGTGAAACTGGGGTGGGGGGGGCACACAGACACAGTGAGACTGGGGGAGGGGGGGGCACACGGATACAGAAACTGGGGTGGGGGGGCACACGGACACAAGAGCCTGGGGTGGGGGGGGCACACGGAAACAGTGAGACTAGGGTGGGGGGGGCACACGGACACAGTGAGACTGGGGGAAAGGGGGGCACACGGATACAGAAACTGGGATGGGGGGCCACACGGACACAAGAGCCTGGGGTGGGGGGGGCACACGGACAGAGCCTGGGGTGGGGGGCCACACGGACACAGAGCCTGGGGTAGGAGCGGCCCATGGACACAGAGGCTGGGGTGAGGGGCAAATGGACACAGTGAGACAGGGGTGGGTGGGCACACGGACATAGATAGACTGGGGTGGGGGGGCACACGGACACAGAGATTGGGGTCCGGGGCACACAGACACAAAGACACACACACACTGGGGTGTGGGGGAACACGAACACAGAGACTTGGAGGGGGGGGCACACGGATACAGAGACTGGGGGGGGGCACACAGACACAGAGACTGGGAGGGCACACAGACACAGTGAGACCGGGGTGCACACGGACAGAGAGAGACCGGGGGGCACACGGGCAGAGAGAGACCGGGGGGCACACGGACAGAGAGAGACCGGGGGGCATACGGACAGAGAGAGACCGGGGGGCACACGGACAGAGAGGCCGGGGGGCACACGGACAGAGAGAGACCAGGGGGCACACGGACAGAGAGAGACCGGGGGGCACACGGACAGAGAGAGACCGGGGGGCACACGGACAGAGAGAGATGGGGGGGGGCACATGGCCAGAGAGAGACCGGGGGGCACACGGACAGAGAGAGACCGGGGGGCACATGGACACAGGGCACACAGCGAGACTAGGGTAGGGGGCACACACAGAGAGACTGGGGGCACACAGATAGAGAGACTGGGGGGAGCACACTGACACAGGGCACACAGCAAGACTTGGGTGGGGGGGCACACAGAGAGACTGGGGGGAGCACACTGACACAGGGCACACAGCAAGACTTGGGTGGGGGGGGCACACAGACAGAGAGAGAGAGAGACTCGGGGGCACACGGTTAAGAGAGAGATTGGGGTGGTGGGGGCACACAGATAGAGATTGTTTGGGAAGCACACGGACACGGGGGGGGTGGCACACAGACACAGAAAGACGGTGGGGGGGGGGGGGTGAGGGGGAGCACACTGGGGATTGAGAGAAACACAAGAGTGACTCTGAGGGCACATGGACACACAGAGAGAGAGAGACAGAGAGAGAGCAGCTCCTCTCACTGCTGGTCGGCTCGGGGCTGTGTGAGTCCCACCAGCAGCAGCTCCTGCCTCCCCTCCCTCCCTCCCTCCCTCCCTCCCATCCACAGGAACTGCACTGAAGCGAAAGCCAGTACCTACCTCCGACCCTGTACATGTTGGCAGCCATGGCGGGGCCCCGTCTCCCCGTCTCCCCCAGCCTCTCTCTGTGCCCGGCTCACCCTCTCACACACTCACCCCCCCGCTGATCGCTCCGGCACCGGGGGGGGGGGGGGGGGGAGAGGTGTGGGGGACGGGGTGGGGGGGGGGTACGGGGAGGGGGGGGAGGCGAGGAGGGAGGGGGTGTGGGCTCAGACCCAGGGGATCACACTCAAAAGGCACAAACACCGGCGAAAAAAAAAGCTGCACAAAATCCCCGGCAAAGTGTGCGCTGACTCCGGGGGGGGGGTGTGTGGGGGGGTGTGTGTGGGGGGGGGGCGGGAGTGGGGGGAGTGTGTGTGGGGGGGTTCGGCTGCTTTTCTTTTTCTTCTCCTCTTCCTCCTCTTCACACTAACAGTGGTTGTGCCCAAAGAGCCGTCTCTCTCTCTCTCTCTCTCCTCCCTTTCTCTCTCTCTCTCTTCCCCCCCCCCCCACCCCAACCCCCCCCCCAAACTCCCCCCCCCCCTCTTTCTCTCTATTCTTCCTCTCTTCTCTCCTCCCTCTCTTCCTCTTCTCGGCGCCCGACGTCACCTATTCTTCGGAAGCGGCCGTGGCCCTCCCGCGGGGTCACTCGAACCTTCAAACAAACCCCCGACGCCCGCCCGCCCACTCCCACCCCTCCCACCCCCAGCCACAAGCCGCCCGATAGCCCGCCCGCCCGACAGCCCGCCCGGGTGTCCAAAGCCACTTTGACTTCACTCCCAGCCTGACTCACGCAAACGCCGCACGCAGGGGCAGAGTCAGAAGACAGACACCCCGAGGGAAGCTCACTTGCCAGCACACGCGATGCGATTGAGAGACCCCCCCCCCCCCCCCCACTCCTCCCGGGGACTGAGAGTCTAACCCCCCCCCCCCCCCCAGCCTGAGGCTTTACACACACAGACACCCCTCACCACCAAATAACTCCCCTCACTTTGTTTCTGTGGGGAGCGCTCCTAAGAGTCCACGGTGTGGGCAGAGCTTTTTTTACACCTGGACAAGTCGCCAAAAATTATCATGGACACGCGTGTGTGTGTATGTGTGTGTGTAAAAAAATCTTCCCAGATCCCCCCCCACCCCCCCCTCCTCCTCCTGCTGGTGGGATCTGTTTTAAAATAATGGGCTTCCCCCCCACCACACACCACCACGATCCCCAAGTCACCCCCACCCCACACACACTCAGTAAAACTAACGTTACCCCATGCCGTCCAGGGTATCAAATTACTCGGATTTACCCGGACAGTTCAGGTCAAACATACAAATAAACAATATTGACCACTGTTCGGATTTATATTGAAATAATGTGCTCGCAATGGGGGGGGGGGGGGGGGGGATGTGGGGGTGTGGAGGGGCGAGCCTTGGATTTTTTCTTACAGCCCATAATGTTGAAAAATGTCTCAAAGGTTTCAAATGAATTGTCCAGTGTAGTGACTGTTTTTGTAGGCGAACGCGTGGAGTCCTGTAACTCAGTGGTTAGAGCACTCGCTTTGCAAGCGAGAGACCTGAGTTCAATTCCAGGCAGGTCAGGGCGAAACCTTGGGCAAGTTTCCTTACTCCACACAGAGCCTATTAATAATCCCTCCAAAACCAAAAACAATAATAAATTGGTCACTTTCAATCTACGACGCTTTGTGGGACATTGCTGTGCACAATTGGCTGCCGCGTTCGCCCACAAATATACAGTCAATTCACTTTACAGTGTGTTTTGTGAAGCGCTTTGGGACGTCCTCCCGACGTGAAAAGCGCTATATCAAATGCAAGGATTATTATTATTAACAGTCACACTATGCACATCATCGCCCCCAGTATAGCCAGAGATGAATGATCAATTTATCTGGAGGATTGTTGCCAGGATACTTGGAGACTTTTTTTAAGTGTCAGGCAGACTGAATTGGTAGCACTCTCGCCTTTGTCAGAAGGGTTGTACTGCATGTTTAAGCTTATAATTTTAGCCTGGCATTTCAATGCAGTACTGGGGGAAATGCATTCCGTTGAATGAAACATTAAATCGAGCTCCTTCTTACCCGCTCAGGTGGACATTAAAGATCTCATAGAACTATTCAAAAAGAGTTACACCCAGTGACATGTCTAACAATCCCCCAAATAAAATTGTCATTCACTTCATGGATCTTTGTGAGACATTCCTGTGCACAAATTGGCTACCACATTCACCTACAAATACACTCTGTAAAATGCTTCAAGCCATTTCGACGTGTTAAGGCTCAAGTGAAAACATTATATAAATAACATCTTGGGATCCACCTTAAGATTGTCCAGCTGAAGATTGTACAGAAGATCTCAGTTTAAGATCCGAAGGATAACACTTATAACAATATAGCATTCCCCAGCACTAAGCTGGAGTATCAACCAACTCCCCTCTGAGCTCAAGTCCTGACGTGGAGCTTGCATCCACAACCTTCTGATCCAGAGGTGAGAGTTAAACCACTTGAGCCAAGCTGATAGACACGTATATAGAAATTTCTGGCTTTTCCCCTATGTCTCTTAAGAATCTGTAGTACAACTTGCACATATTTTGATCTTTCATGTACAAGAACATCTCACAACAGTTTACAGGGGTTGCCCTTTCTTGCACCAGACTCCGTCAGCTATCACCCTATCCTTGCTCACCTAGCTCCATTTGCTCCCCATCCCCTAGCAGATTGAATTCAAGATACTTGTTCTTACCTTCTAATGCCTCCACTTGCCCCACCCTATCTCTGTAACCTCCTTCAACACTTCCAACCCAACCACTCCCTTAGCTCAATGAACTGGCCTGCTTCACATCCCCAGCCCTATCCATCCCACCTCTTTCAGCCATTCAGCCTCCATTTCTAAGGTCCCTCTGAGTTTCATCATCCGTCACCTCATTCAAGGACCTACCTCTTTGACCCCACTTTGGGTCATCTTCCCCCCACCCACCCCACTTCGGATTCCACCCCCAGCTCAGGTGCCCCCCAGCTGTGTTACGCAATTTGAGGGTTTGAAAAGGAGCTTTCAGGTTGAGCACAACCCAAAAGTTGTATACTGTCTTCAAACTGGAGCAAACAGCCAGGATTTAACAACTATATCATAATAAAATTGAAATGATCCCCTCTTGGTTTCCTCCCTTCTTGACTCAAAGGTGGAAACTCAGATTGCAATAGGCATGGAAGCCCCATTGCTCCAGTGCACCACAGGCCAGGAAATGAACTTGGTCTGAGTAGCTGGGTACTGCACCATTTCCCCACTAAGCCTTCATAGGAACAAACTCAAAGATTAGTTATTTTGCAATTTGAGCATGACACTGTTAAGTAAGGTGTATAATCTGAGCATAGTGGAGTCCTGTAGCTCAGTGGTTAGAGCACTCGCCTTGCAAGTGAGAGACCTGAGTTCAATTCCAGGCAGAGGGCGAAACCTTGGGCAAGTTTCCTTACTCCACACAGAGCCTAATAATAATCCCTCCAAAAACCAAAACAATAATAAATTGGTCATTTTCAATCTACGACTGTTTGTGGGACATTGCTGTGCGCAATTGGCTGCCGCGTTCGCCCACAAATATACAGTCAATTCACTTTACAGTGTGTTTTGTGAAGCGCTTTGGGACGTCCTCCCGACGTGAAAAGCGCTATATCAAATGCAAGGATTATTATTATTATAGTTTAAAGTGATTCATACTGGTGAAGCACACTTCCTACCCTGTAACTTGTAACTTACTCAAAAAGCCTAAATGACAAATACTTATGCCTAAAGGGCAAAAAGTAAAATGAGAATTAAAATATTAACTGCTATTGTTCACACCAAGCGTATCAAGACTTCAAAAGGCAAAAAAAATCAATAAAACACAATAATTCGGTAAACTCATGCAATCCAAAACCATAAAACTAGATGCAATAATATAATTAAAATCTAAATCTTCACAAAACAACAATAACATTTATTTAGTTCCTTTTATGTTGCGAGGACGTCTGGAGGGATGAGATGGAGGGACTGCGGGATGAAGTCCCAGAAAGTGGGTGCAGAGTGGCAGAAGGCCCGCCTGCCGATAGTGGGGCGAGCAAGGCAGGTGACATGAAGCAGGCCGGAGCCCGCTTAGCGGAGGGAGCGAACAGGGTGGTAAGGGGTTAGGAGGTCAGAGAGGTAGGGGGGAGCAAGACCGTGGCGGGCTTTGAAGGTGAGGACCAGGATCTTGAACTGTATCCTCTGTGTGATGGGAAGCCAGTGGAGTTGGGCAAAGATGGGGGTGATAGGGTCGCGGAGCCTAGTGTGTGAGAGGACACGGGCTGTGGAGTTCTGGATTATCTGCAGCCTATGGAGGGAGGAGTTGGGGAGGCTGACAAGCAGTGAGTTTGCAGTCAAACCTCGATATAATGAAGGGGCGTATGACAATTTCGGCGGCCTGCAGTGTGAGACAGTGTCTGAGCTGGGTGATGTTGCGGAGGTGGGGGGAGACAGAGTGGTTCATGGCGCAGATGTGGGCTAGAAAGGATAGTTGAGGGTCAAACAAGACCCCAAGGTTCTGGACTGGCTTAGCAAGGTGGAGTGTGCAACCATGGATGGTGATGCTGTCAACGCCTGAGGTGAGGAGACGCTGACAGCAGTCAATCAGGAGAGTCTCGGTCTTGTTGAATTCAACTGAAAAAAGTTAGCTCTCATTTAGGACTCGATGTCTGACAGACATTCTGTCAAGCACAGCAGTGGTCCTGGAGTCAAAGGTGGAGGCAGAGGTAGAGATGGGTGTCATCCACATACATGTGGAAGTTGATCCCATGTCTGCGGATGATGTCACCAAGAGGGAGCATATAGATGTTGAAGAGGAGGAGACCAAGGATAAAGCCCTGAGGAACAGCGCACGAGACAGTCTGGGGGCTAGAGGTGAAGCCGTTTGAGATGAGGCGCTGGCGGTGTGAGAGGTATGATCTGAACCAATCAAGAACAGCGCCGTGGAGGTTGAGGTGAGAGGAGAGGTGGTGGATGAGGATAGAGTGGTCGACGGTGTCGAAAGCAGCAGAGAGGTCAAGGAGGACGAGGAGACAGAGGGAGCCCTGGTCGCAGATAGACAGAATGTCATTTGTCACTCTGACCAG